ATCAAAGTTCTTTCCAGAAATGTTTACTGACGAAGCTGTGCAACTTAACTTAACTAACCAACTTAACTTTCCTTAATTTAGAACACATTTTCAATTTTCTCGGAAACAGTGATCTTTCGGACTTAAGTCACTTTCTTGGCGATCGTAGCAATCGCGAAAATAGAAATCATCAAGTGCCAGGATCGCTAAATTGTATTTATTTTTTAGCGATTGCAAGGATCGTAGTGATCAAATGAAAACCAGCCTGCTTTTCTAGATGTACCAAAATTCCAAAACGGTTTCAATGGTATTACCTGAAACTTATCGCGCTTGTTTCGTCTCATGAAAGTTAAAAAAAAAACGAAATATATTCTATAGTATTACTGAATTATCGTTAATGTTTCGTCTGTTATGAACGAAGCGATGGAAACATGGAAAAACCGGCTTACATGCGATAGCAGGCCTCTTTGTGATTCCGGTCAATAGCCGACAGCCGGAGGAATTGGTTTACATTGATCTCGCGTTAATTCCAGGCTAGACGACCATTAAGTGGTGATTTTCAAATGGCTACGGTTACGATCAAATTCCTAAACAGTCTCAATTGGTATATTTGATTCGCTTCGACCAGTTATCAATGCTGATTAAATCCGCTGAAAACCCAAGCCATTTTTATCATAGCAGTTTTAGAAATCAAGCGTGTTCAGCGTGTCTTACCCAAATTGCACGCTAAGCGTGCTATAATTCGCACACTTACCGTGACATATGGCACGCTACAAAAAAACAAAAGGTCTAGCGTGTTAAATCTACCAAAACAAAGGCAAGTGTGTCCGTCTTTGTTTTTTCAATTTAATATGCGCATATCCGTTTCGAAACGCTAAGCGTGTCGTGCAAGCGTGTCGTGAGCGTGCTTTCACCTTTAGCATCAAATTCCTGTGGAGGGTCACATATCATCAGCAACTTTGAAGACTCCTTTCAGTCCTTCAAAGTTTTGGTCAAGTTTCATCTGAAAAATTTCCGGGGCTGGGGTGATTCCAAATGGCATCCTGTGAAAGCGATACCGCCCCCAGGGTGTCTGAAAGACAGTAAGTTTACTGGATTCTTCGTCTAATTCAACTTGAAGAAAGCCTTCTTTCAAATCAACGTTGCTGAATACCTTTGCCTTTCAGCGTTCTGGTAGGATCTCTGCTATCACCGGGAGAGGGTAATGGCTTCGTTGTAAGGCTAGACTTAAGTAATGGGGATCAATGCACAAACGAATGTTCCCGTCTGGCTTCTTGGCTGCAATCATGCTTGAAACCCATTCTGTAGGTTCTTGAATAGGGCTGATCGCTTTGCTCTGAGTTAACCGATCAAGTTCATTCTTCAGTTTCTCTTTAAGCGCAACAGGTACACGATGTGGCGGCATAACTGTGGGAGCAACATTTGAGTCTGTTTCAAGGTGTACTTTCCCTTCCATGCGGCCTAACTCTACTCCAAAGACGCCCGAATATTCACTCATCACTGCATCTCTTAGGCTTCTCGGCATCACAGGACAATGTATCTTCTCTAATGGACAGAATGTTCTGAGTTTGCACAACCAGTAGCTTCATCTTTTGAGAAGTTTCCAGGCCGAGTAATGGAGCAAAATTGCCATCAACGATGGCGAAGTCGATCAGATAGCTTCCCATGTTCTTAGGATTAACTAGGGAGATTTTTGCTTTACCATTGGCTGACATGGCTGACTTTGAGTACATCTTGAGGGTGTGACTCGATTTCTCAACCACAGTTCCCTTGGGGAAATACTTGATGGGCAGAACATTGCAGGATGCACCTGAGTCAAGTAACATTTTCACTTCCTTCCCACCAATCTTTATAGTGGCCAGGATCTTGTTTCAGTGGTTATCAACGGCGTTGATTTCTTCTTCGGTGCAGGATACAGAGATAACTTCCTCTTCACTTTCATCAAAGTCGAACTGATTCAATGAATGCTTTTGTGGAGGTTTCCTGTGGCTTGTTTTCTTTGTCTTGTGCGGCTTCTTTTCTGGGGAACATTTCGAGGCAAAACTATTCTCTTTTTGACAAGCAGAGCAAATTTTCCCAAAAGCTGGACACTTTGATCTCCCTTTCTCATGCGTTTGACCACAAAATCGGCAATCTTTTGCAAAGGATGATTTATCCGCGCCTTTTGACGGCTTTTTGACAAATTTCAACTCAGGGGTTGGGGGTGCGAGTGAATTTTGCACTGACATAGCTTCCAGTTGAGTCGACCTGGCTTCAGCGCAGCGGCACATATCTATGCACTATTCAAGCGTAAGTTCGGGTACTTGGAGTAGTTTCTTTCTTAAACTGCTGTCATGAACTCCGCAGACAATCCTGTCTCTTATCAATTCACATTTAAGCGCTCCAAAGTTGCACGTATCGGAGACAGATCTCAAATTTGATGCGTAAGTTCCGATTGATTCACCGGCGTCTTGATTGCGATTATTGAAGCGACATCTTTCATAAATAATGTTCGTTTTCCCGAGGCAAAAGGATTCCCATAATTCGAGGATTTTCGCTAAATTCTTCTTCTCGTCTTCCGCTCTGGAACGGAAGGACATTGTGAATAGTGAGCGCTTTTGGACCAATACATGTGATCAATGCAGTCACTCGATACTCGTCGGTCTGCTCATTGAGACGCGTGACTAATTAGTAAGCAACCCCAAACCTGCTTCCACTGCTTCCAATTATTAGCAAGATTTCCAGATAATTCAATTTTTGGAGGAACAGGGACGTTACTGGTAAATATTGGTGCTTGAAAGCTTGTACAGGTTGTCCTCCCTCATTCGGTGGATTGGCGGGCATGCTTCAATCGCTTGCTAAACTTGCTGTTGACCAGGGTTGACGTTCAAATGACGTTGTTAACCAAACGAAAGCGAGAATTTGAACGACTTTCTGACACCATGTAACGTTTTGGCTTTGTACAGCAGCAAAGCGGTTCTTGTAAACATAACCAAACGATACTTTAATCCATAAGTCGGTTCACTGAAGACTCCTCTACAAGATCGTGAGCACATGTAAAATCGGGCATCCTATTGGATAACAACTACCACGTGACGTTACAACAGGGAGAAGTATATATATATGAGATTAAATGCTGCGACTGCAAGGCTACTTGCATTGGTGAAACCGGAAGAAACCTATGACCGAGCGACTGACTGAACACAAACGAGCGACGAGAAATGGTAACGTCAACAATCACATTGCTGAGCACCATTTAGTACACCGTTTGTACCGGCACGATACAAACGACTCATGGATGGAATCAAGCAAGAATAACTACCAGAGAACGACTGGCAACTGAAAATTTGACTAACAATAATTAGCTGTGACAATAGACGGACTGAGACGCACCAATATCAACAACAACAACAACAATCTATTTTATTCAAGATTAATAAAGCTTACAATATTTTATGCCCTGCAAATAGCTATAGCGCTGATCTAGGCAGGACAAAAATTATAAATAAAGGCGTTTATATTAAATTACATATTAAGAAAAAAGGAGAAGAAAAAAAATACACAAAGAAAGAATAATCCCTCACACAAATTCAAGCACAGGGGTTTTGTTATTAGAAAAAAAAAAAAGACATCACGGGCCTTCATCGGCAATAACATCACTGCTTAACTGACAGACGACCAAGAACATCGTAACTCAATTGACCAGTCAGGCCAGTAACTAGAGTTTAATACTATCAACCGGAGGTGATACAACTGCTTTGGCACTGAAGATGACTACTGCACATGTTTTCGAAACCTCAGTCACTGTCAACAATAACAGTCCTATTCAGGACTACGTTGTCGACTGCGTTTACCGGGACGATCATACTTAACCTCCTTATGAAACTGTAGCTATAAACAAAGAGCCTTTTGTTCTTGGACCAACGTAGTTTGATAAAAAATAAAACACAAACAGCGGTGATAAACATTGTGAGCTTTTGCAAATAAGTTTCTAAACGCCTAAAACCTTTTATTTACCAGTTTTTCTCTTGTGTTAAAAGATAATTTTTCAAAACACCTGCCGTATTAAATCTTTCTTTCCTTATACAATGACCCCCTAAATCGCTCTTAAAGATCTAAAGTCATTTACAAAGCTTGCTGTTGGAATTGTAATGACATTTATATTTGGTAAAACCAAGCGACGGCTCCATGTTAGGAAGACTGAACACTTCAAGTCCCTAACAAAAAATGATCACTTCTCAGCTATTGCTGACCATGTCACTGCCAACAAACATAACATTAAGTGGGATCATTTTGAAATTTTAGCATCATAAAAGTAACATGCATTGTTTACGCAAGACCTTTTGATTACTGTTAAGCATTTTGAATTCTTAATCTCCTTTCCAGAACCCTTGTATTTTTTTGTGTGTAAATAGTCTCATCATTATCTTCAACGGTCACTTTAGATCACGCTTGAAAATGTATCTTGAATAGGATACAAAATGTCAAGTTTATAAAAATAAGAAAGCTCACAACGTTTATCACCGCTGTTTGTGTTTTATTTGATCAAACTAGAAACACGTTTTTACGGTTAACTCTTTTTGACTGACGGTTTAAAAAAAATTTTTTAAAATTTTTTGGCTCTGCTACATTGATAAATGAAGCACCGCTGACAAATGAAGTAAGGGAAAAAGGATTTGTCTTGCGTTCCTTAGACAATTACGGGCTAACTGGTGCCCTCAAATCAAACTAGAGTCCACTTGGCGGATTGTACTCGATTCCCTATGGCCAACGATAAATTAACCGCGGATAGAAGAAATTCTCCTTCACGGACGCTTTTTTCTTAATTGTGTCACTTTGCGTTTGACCTTGATCACAGGCTACCCAATATAAGAATTAGAATAACTTTTTTGTAATAAAGCAACGAAACCCAACTGAACCACAATTCCTATATTGGAACTTCGTGCAAATAACCTAAAACTTTCAGTGCGACAAGACAATCGCCATGTACGCTAGCTTAAAGACAGACTCTTTTTTTTTTAATGAATTGAAAACCGCCTGTTTCATTTTCTCACCCTTCTCCTTCTACAACGAAGCCACGTCAGCAGGTCTCCAAACGGAACATACTCTATTACCAGGAACTTTTCATCCTGAAACGTGCAGCATCCAACCATGGAAACAACGTTCGGATGTGATCCCAACAGCTTCATTTGCTCGATCTCAAACTGGAATTCTGCTTTCTGTGCTGCACTAGGATTGTCTAAACACATTAAAATGCATTCGGTTATTCTTTATTGTTAAAATCACAATGTATTTGTTGCAACATATGTTAAACATATTACGTACACGTACAGTGTCAGGTAACTTAGAATTGTGTTCATCTTGTGATAAACATGAGCCCTTTCCATTCTAGGGTATGTGTCGACTATTTAAGTTTGTTTGTGGTATTTCTCCGTTTTTAGGGACTTTAAGGATCCACAACGGCAACGGGGACGCCAATACCGCGAAAGAGACTAGGGACTGAGATAACATGATTCGGTCTGGAAGACGTCGCGAGTTATAAGTAGTTTTAAAAGCAGCGCGAAAACGGCAAAGTTCAATTACTGCTTGTGGGATATTATCTGATATAAGAAAGTTCCGAACATAAAGGACGTCATATTCCAGTTCCCATTCGAGAAGATCTACTCGTAAATAAACAAGGTAAAACATTGTGACAAGTTTTATTTTTAAGCATTTCGAGCGAGCGATGGAAAGCAAACAAACAAACAAACAAACTTAAGCTATGTATGGATCCTGATTTACCATGCGAAAATATCTACCCATGAATGAAAATAGGTGGATTCACACTAGACCCTAAAGTTCACTTGAAGTGCACTTGAGTTCAAGTGTACTTGAAAAACACTTGAAGTGTACTCAGCTTTTAAGTAAAAATGGCGTTCACACTAAAGTTAAAGTGAGGAGTTTTGGCGGGAATTAATCCGTATCTCACAGTTTATTACGCTGCCGTACACGTGTTTATTCAAAACGTCTGCGAAGACAGGAGCCGTAGAACTATTGCAAAGCGCGATTTTCCGTTTAATTTATTGACAACAGTCTTCTTGAACAGTGTCAGAATAAAAGGATAACAATGCGGCAGTAGGATGGTTGCATCGAAGTAATCGAAGTAGAGGAAACCTTCTTTGATGTTCTAAAAGCTCTCTTTGCCAGTATTTTAAGCTCGTTGCTTCAAGTATTTATAATCGTATTCCAGATTATGTATTCTTTCAAACGGCAGACTTTCTAACACTTTCAACAAACCACTCTTTATACTTGTCGTAAATGTCACTCCATATCCCTTCTCTCTTTTCAGTCGATGAGCGCTTTAATTATTTTTACTTTGGTCCCACTTTCACGCTAGAGCTGTTCTGTTGCTTCCGTTTCGTATGCACTTTTCTGGCTCGCTTGAATTTCTTTGAGTACAATGTAGTGGCTTTACGTTTCTTTGGTGAGACGTGAGTAGTGGGAGAGGGACCAGTTAGGTCTTCTCCATGCGCAGGAATCTCATTAACTTGGGCAGGATTACATTAACGCCGATGACGTCATGCATCTAATTAAGATAGGATGATGCCATAGTTTATTTTCAGTTGGCAAGGAGCAAGTGATATCAGAATACTTTAGGGGATGACGTCATCAAAAATGTTGAGATCATAATATATAAATAGAAAAGTGATATCATGTCCCTACTTGGTCATGATGATGTCATAATTTATTCAGGTATGATGATGCCATAGTTAACTTTTAGTTGTAATGATTAATATGTTCTTTAAACAGGTTTTTGATAACTATCGTATGATAATAATTTTAAAATAACGGCACCCAAGAAAAAAAAAATTGTGATCCACCCGGATCAACAATTTCTACACTGAAAGAATTCAGTTATGATCATTTGACAGCGGAGGAATGGAGATGACTGTAATTTTTTTCCTGCGGAGCAAAATTTTCCCTAAATTATAACTTTCTGATAATTAGTTTTTCAACTGAAGGGCGATAAAAATTTGTTAAAAGGTAGATTGCTTTATAATTGACAGTCCTTAAGTTATCCATTTATCTCGAAGTAACTGCAACAAGCCCCAGCATCAAAATATCACAAATGATAGCCTTAGTGATCATTTTCTGCCACAGTTTTCAGTCGCATTCCTTAGAAAACAAACACAGTTGCTCTTGTGTCCTGATAACAGCTTCGAATTCAGAAAACCTCACTTCTCACCTTTTGGCCAGTTGATCGGTAAACAGCTCATTAAACACTTATTATGCGCAAATGCTTGCATGGCCACTGATCTTGATCTATATTTGCATATGAACTCTACAAGCGGAGAAAGCTTATGGGACAACCTTTAAACGTCTACTATTCAATAAGACAATAGATGGCTTACTTTCTAAGAAATGATCAGTTTGAGAAAGTAATAAATGCTTATGTAATTAATAAAACCAATACCGTTTAGAAAGGTACCGTTTTAACCCTCGGACGTACAAGGGGGGGGGGGGGGGAAGGGGTGTTTGCTACCCACCCATAAGGTTTTTCTGAGTTTTTTCCTGGAGGATAAAACATCAGCACCTGACGTTTTCAGTAGCTGTTCGTTCATCCCTCGCGCAAATTTTGAGGCGAGTTTAGTGATGGTTAGTTGCTATGGTTACTACATAGACGTCATAAGTAGCAGGTGGTCAAGCCAATTTTGGGTGAAAATATGTTGTTTCGACTTCTTTCAACAATAAAAGTAAATTTTGTCGCTAAAATTATACAATTAAGTGCTTATTTATGGGTTATTTTTCATGTAAAGCACAAAAAATTAACATTTCTCGTGGTTTTAACCTGATCTCTAATTGTTGATAAAATCCAAGATGGCGGCCAAGATGACGAACACTGTTGGTGACGTCACAGGCCTCCAGCAGCGCCACCATCCATAAATTATACCTCATCTTGTTAAGAAGATCAAAGGCTTTCCACTAAAGGTAAAATCGTTTCAAAATACTGCACCATTTACTGTTGCTCAGGGCTCCCATTGATAACAGACAGCTTTTTGCGTCTGAAGGGGCTACCCTAAGCGGTATAAATTAATAAAGGTTCTTCTTCTTCTATCAAAAACTCCGGGGAGGAATTCCATCCACCCCCCACCTTGTACCACGGTAAGGGTATGAATTTGCCTGTACGTCCGAGAGTTAAAAACTTTATTGAAAGGTAATTACAAAGATTTCGTTATAGGTCTATCGAGCATTCGTTTGGTTCTTTTCTAGGAACGATCTTACGCTGGGATCGTCCTTGTGCAGATAAATCCATTTCGATTTTCCATTCCTTTCCGATAGATGACTGCATCACTTTGTATCTATCCTACCACTGACTGTAGTACCCACCATATTCGCCTCGATTTCTTGCTCTCGTAAAGAATACGATCCGTTGTAAGAATTTTTTTCAAAGAAAAATGTTTTACCACACTGAGTGAGGCCCACCACGAGAAGTGAAAATTTATGTCGAAACATATAAAATTCTGGATATCCTTTGGTTTCCAGGGAAACATCGTTAGACAATTTGGGCCTCTGGAATATACAATGCTGAGGTTTTTCCGTTTCTTTGACACCTGCAATAGTTCTTTTTTCGTTCTCTACTTGTTTCCTTTTCCTTGTGTAATACTTGGGGAAAAAACCGGTATAATGTTTCCTCTCAAGCTAGAACTGAAATACTCGAGTTTACCCGGGTACGCGATCGATACTCAATTGAACACCAAGCCAATATAGGACTTGTGGCCTCAGAGCGTTTCATACGAATCAAGCGGTCAACTGAAATAATTACGTAAGAGAAATGGCCTAAATATTGATGCATTAAAGCTAAAAGTAATGACAAGAATTATGCCATGTGTTCGTGCTAGTGTTCGAAATATAATCGTAATCAAAGAAACGTATATAAAATGTAGCATATACAAACAATTGCTAATGTAAGTTAAGAGGCTTAAGTGGTTGTTCTTACCAACGTTCGCGGGTCCCGATTTCGTGAATTTCGATCTAACTTGTCTTGTTATTCTTGATCTCCAGGGGTCTTGTCCGAACTGAAAGGCGAGCTATCTTAAAACTAATTATTAAACCCTAATCACGCGGTACTGTAACGTCAATCAAAATTGAGAAATATCGGAAGCGGTTACAGCCAGGACACTCCTTGTGTTATACCCAGACTTTTCTTAGACCCCGAAAATACCGCTGCTTTTAGCCATTCCTTTCTTTCGTGGCTCTTTAATCGATGCACTTGACGCAGGTGATCACTCTGGCTTGCCTCATACCGGGCATCTCTCTTGAGTATATACGGCATCTTTACCACACGACAACCTTAAACACACTGAGGGAAATAAGTTATTTTCCTGTTTATATAGCTTCGCTAATTTAATTTGATATCATCACTAGTTCTAATCCAATTCTTGTCAATCGTGATGTAATACTAGGTCGATGTATGGTCGATGTAGGGTCCATGATGTAGGGTCGGGTCGATGTACGGTCGATGTGAGGTCGATGTGAGCTCGACGAAGGGTCGATGTAGGGTCGATGTGAGGCGATGTAGGGTCGATGTAGAGTCGATGTAGGGTCGATGTGAGGTCGATGTAAAATCGATTATTATTTGCGAGGGAGAACGCTCAGTAACCCCGCCTTCACCAATATTTTATAAAAGAGAGAGTTCCTTTCTGAAGTTTAGTTTCCTATCAGAACGCGTACGGTTCAAACCAAAATAAATGTGGAACAATGGCCATCATTACAGCCTTCTTCAACAAGGTGCTGGAAATTTGAAAGTAGAAAGTGAAGAAACCGATTTCTCCCGAGAAAGCGAAGTCTCTCAAGCCAGCCAAGGAACGGAGTCTTCCCAAGAAGAAACAGAAAACTTAGAGCCTGGGTCACGCATTTTTGATGAAGCCGAGAAACGTCATGAGACCCAGCTCAACGCATTGATCAATGAGTACGAAGGGAACGGAGATTCAGAAAACGTGGCTCGTATTAATGCCGAGAACGCTATGGTTCCTGTTTACAGAAAAGAGTTAAGAAAAGTACTGTTAGAGAATCTACAGTGGATGCGTGCAATGAAAAAAAAAACCACCTTCAAAAAACTGATTGAGACCCAAAAAGAGCTTAAAGATACAGAAGGATTCGATTGGTTGGAATGGACAGAACTAGCGATCGATAAGCGAAAATTCTTACTTAATTAATCGACGCTATGAAAAGCAGCCCATTCCAAAAGATGAAGACTAGACCTACTGGAATGTTATATAATTTTTTTCCGGACCTTGTGGTTGCGTTTCAATGAAAAGCTGTAACCAACCAGAATTTAAGTGTGTTTAATTGATCACTACGGGATAGTACTAAGATAAAGACAATCACACACTGGCTCAAAATGTCCTCGCCATCATACGATAGTGATCAAGCTCTATTACTTTAAAAAAGTGCTCAATATCCTTTTTCAGATTACTAATTCGTATATAAAATCCTACTTAAAGTAATATAAGCAATGACATCATGACCAAATAAGAACATGATCATTGCAACTGAAAATTAACTATGGCGTCATCATACCTGAATAAATTATGACATCATCATGACCAAGTAGGGACATGATATCACTTTTCTATCTATAGATTATGATCTCAACATTTTTTGATGAAGTCAACCGCTAGGGTATTCTGACATCACTTGCTCCTTGCCAACTGAAAATATACTATGACATTATCCTATCTTAATGAGATGCATGACGTCATCGGCGTTAATGTACTCCTGCGTAAGTTAATGCGCATGGAAAAGGCCTAACCGGTCCCTCCTCCACTACTGACGTGAGGTTTACCCATCTTGTAAAGGATCACTGCTCTTGCTGCAGGTGGACACGAAAAAGTGGCCTGAACGAGTTGAAAAAAGAATAAACTGCATTCAAAAAACCGCAAAACAGGAAAATCGCTCTGTTGTGGAACATAGGTCATTTCGTTTCCACAGCCAAGTCTTCCATTAACGTTGTTTCCGCCGTCAAATACAGTGAAAAAATGAAATCGTGAAATTTCTGAACTAGCTCATGAAGCTAAACTGAGAAAAACCTACCTACGATTCGTGGTGATCAGTATCCTCATTCGTCAATCAATTCTCGCTTGCTCGCTTGCGAGAGTGAAATTTGTGGCTCGAGACGATTGACACTTTGATAATAAATTTCCGACGCTTTGATTGGATAAATGCAGTCTCAAGGACGGGTTTTGACCTTACTTGAGAGTGCACTTGGGAACTTTGAGGCTTTGAAGTTTCTGTGGCAACTAAGGACGACTAGTCAAGATCAGTCAAGTGAAAAAGGAACCGTTCACACACAAGTTAGTCTCAAGTGCACTTCAAATGCTCTTCAAGAGCACTTGAAAAGTCCAGTGTGAACCCAACTAATAAAACAAAACTTACAAAATCTAGCACTGAGATCTAGCACACTGATAAGCGTAATTACATTTAAATTGTAATCGTGGTTAGAATTTTATAAGCAATTCTGCCCTCACATCAGTCAACTCTACCAAAAGCCGGAGTAGTTTTTTAAGTCAGAATAAAAGACAAAAAACGATAGAAGATCAAATGTCAAATAAACTTAAATGCTGCTGTTGTTTTGAAACATCTGCAAGATCGAGATAGTGAAATAAGCGTGAGATCTGCTTACTTTATAAAACTTTAGACGAGACCATAGATCGGAGGATCATCTCTTTTTCAACGAGGAACATCTCTAAGAGCAGCTTCTCTTTTCACACAAAGCAGCCGAACCAGCCTTGCTTTAGTCTTCGTTCATGCATGTCAGCTGTTTTTCTCTCACGCAGCTATGAAAACATGTGTTAAAATATTCAAAGCACTTTTAGTTTTCCCATTAGTTTTCGTTTTTAATATTACCGTGTAAAACCTTTACAGCAACCACTTGAGGAGCCTTGTTGTTCGATAACAATTGCCGCTTTGAAATCTCTTTGTCAAACACCTCTATCCCAACTCTTTTCCTCAGAGTTGCTTTGTAAACTACACCAAACGCACCTCGGCCCAGCTCCCCCTCGTATTCTATTTGCTCAGGAAGAATTTCCCACTCGTCCAGAGGGTAGATCACGCGCTGTGGATGAAGTGATCTGAAAAAGAAAATGGGGAAAGAAAATAACTTTAATATTAACTTTACCCCAAAATGTGAAGATGGGAGTTGTATTTGCAGAATTTTTTTTAACATCGGTTGTAAGTACGTAGAACTGTACAAACCCATCAACTTCCTTTCGTCTTTTCCTCTTGTAGCACCAGATGAAAAAAGTAGCGGACGACAACAACAGCAAAGCGGAGGCAAAACCGAGGAATACGTAAAGAATCATACTCCTGGGTTTGTTAACTGTAGGCTCATTTACTGCCAAGGAAAAAAAATTAATCATAAAGAAATATTAAATAACAGGATGGTTGCTGATCGTGTGACATGACACTACTGCATGCGCTTTTCAAAAACACGCGAACTCTGAAGTTCAAAAGCCAACTGACGTTTGCGTTTTTCGCTACCATCAATCATCTTAGCGGACCTCCCAGGGAACAAAAACTTTACTGAAACAGGATCAAAAGGTCATGGTTTGTGATATGTGATTTGTTGATTTCGATCCGTTTTGTGTGTTTTCCGTGTTTCAAGGTTCGTTGCTTTTGATCGTAATTACGGTTGCCGGCAGCTAAAAGGGCAATTGTGAAAGCGGCTTTTGAACTTTAGAGTTCGCGTGTTTGTGAAAAGCGCAGTAATGTCACGTGAAAATCAATCTTGAAGTGTTCGATTTGTGACCCTTTTTCATTAAGAGTTTTAAATTATATATGTGGGCACGTATAGCCCAAATTAGAGATGAGTGGTAGCCTGTAGTCGAAAGTGACCCCGCAAGTACTTAGTTTGAGTGAATATTTTGCGTACATGAATAGGTCCCCTGGAAGCATATGGATTTGATGACTTCAACGCAAACTATTTTTTAACCTGCGAGCAGACGTTTCTTTCTTTCAATTTTTTTTTTTTTTTTT